CAGCTATATATATATATATATATATATATATATATATAAACTATGGGATGTGAGTTGAGATCCTGATTAATGAGATTTCTAAGACCAGCTTTTCTAATGCCTCTAAATTATCAACGTGATCAAAACTTCAAGCTGAAAAATCTGTTGCAAAACAAACTACCACATTTTTTCTACTTTTTAATAGTAAGTTTTAATAAGCCTCTTAGTATAATTATAAACATGTCCCCCTTAAACTTAGGTTTACTTAATTAAACCTTAAGTAAAACCTATGTATCCCCCAATTGTAAGTCGCTTTGGATAAAAGCGTCTGCTAAATGACTAAATGTAAATGTGTATATATATATATATACATCTTTCTTTTCTTTTTTTTTTTTTATAAAAGACTAAATGTAAATGTAAATGTGTATATATATATATACATCTTTCTTTTCTTTTTTTTTTTTATAAAAAATCATGGTAAATTGTAGGTATCAAATATGATACAACAGGCTTTAGAGGAACATTTATTTGTACATGCACTGCATCATATGTTTTGCCCCCCAAAATTAAAACTACAGGGCTTTGATCACAAAACTAAACATTTAAATATCATCTTACTAATACATATTATTGGGAGATATAAAGTGACAACTGATATTTATAAGCAGTTTATGCAAGTAGTTTGCTACACTATTATAAAAATGTGATTGATTTACATTACAAGTTATCAGAATTTCATCTTATTTCTATTCCATATAAATAACAACTGTACCAAATTGCATAATTTTTGCTCAGTTTAGGCCTTTGAATAATTTTTTTTCCTCTACATGTGTGTGCTCCATATTTACTATATCATACTATATGGGTCATAGAAGCCTGATGTATCAAATATGGTACAAAACATAATGCACATGCAAGCTTTGCCTTTATATTTGATCAAATATTTTGCCTAAAGATTCAATAATCTCATCCAAAATAAAAAAAAATAAAAAATCGGATTATTATTTTATTTGTCTGGCTTTATAGGGTTAAAACATCTTGTTCAGAGTTTTACGCTCTTGTGTGTCCAGACTCACTGTTTTGTATGTATATCTTGCGATCTCGATATTCTGTCCCCAGAATAGCTTCACTGAGGCCTCTCTTCTGAATCACTATGCGGACAGTGCGCTGACTGTCTGGACAGTCATTGGCTGGGTCTTGCTTCAGACCCAGAGCTGCTTGATATGCTGAAGAAAGAAAGAAACGTACATGATCACATCAATCACTGCATTCAACTTTCATCTATTCAGACAAAACAAAAACAAACTCCAGATTACAGCTTTGCAGAGCTCAAGCCTTATATTTTCAGTCGACCAACACCACTCACCAGCTGAGTAATATTCCAGCACTGGATCCAAACAGAAGGACTTGTATCGCCATGTGACCAGAACATCTTGTTGGTTTGCAGAAGTGGAATATTCACATCGCAGAGTGACAGAAGCAAACAACATTGTGTATCTCTCTGTATGTGGAACCGTAACCTGGACAGACAACAGCTCTGAGAACAGAGGGAGAGGGATCAATTATCATACGGTTTGCATCAGGGTTCCACACCTTCTGACCACGGTCATTCATTTATTTGCTTGTCATTACATAAGGATTTTACACACAAAGAACAATTTTCAACCAATTCAATATTTTAGAGCTGAGCATAACAAAAATAATGATATTCACTATACAATTTTTTAAAGACTATTCATTTCTATGCCTGTTCCTGGCCTGAAAATCTCTATTTTACAAATCCTTGCTCATACAAACAGAATCAAGTTTAAGAAGAACTTTTTTTTTTTATTAATGCTCAATAACATAAGAACATTGTCAAGGAATTAAATGCAAATACATATAATAAAACAAAGAGAGAGAAAACAAAAATATTATACAAAAACAAACAAAAGATGACAAGACAAGGAGACACAAGAATGCATACATTACCACTATTGAAAGAATAACATACAAAGATTTATAAAATATTATGAAGAAATGTTTAAAGTTTCAGAAGAACATAATGTTAACGTATTGGCTGGCATGACGCTTTTAAATCACGTGATCGGGTCATGTTTGCACCTGCTGATGATCAACCTCGCCACTGAACTTATAGAATTACCAGAAAATGTTTTAAATACTTTGAAAGCGGCATGCCACTAAATGAAACACCCCTAATATCCCAGAACAACCCCTGACAGTTATTTTGAATGCCGACTTACCCGTTGGAAATACGCAGAGCACGAGCGCAAGCACCTTGAGCTTCAGTCCTTCTTTCATGTTTCTCGGTTATTCGGAAGGCGTTTTTTTATTTACTTTTCCAAAACACGGCACGATCCTACTAAATACGCGACTCAAACACATACAGACAATGCACGCTGGCCATCATGTCATCGTAAAACATGCGATGCAATTATATCCCGATGTGTTCTTGTTTACCGATATTCTCTCGAGACTGTATAGCTGTAAACACACCTTTGCTCTTTGGAAGTTTGATTCCCCGCCCCCATTCCACGATGACGCCACAGACTCCACCCACCAACAAGTGCACAACTTCCGAGAAAACCCGAACCGGTTTTTCATTGATTTCTGTTCAAAATGAAATTATTTTCACATTGTTAGGATTGTAAATATGTATCATTGCTCAAAGTTAAAGGATTATTGCGTTGTTCACGTTATTCGATAGAATCAAAAAACATATTTGAATCATTATTAACATGTATCCACCAGGGGGCGTCACTTGCCGGTGTTATGGATCAACCGGGGATCGTATTGTTAACTGGGGATGTGCGCGTGCACGTGAGCTATTTTACTTCCCTTTCCAGCAGATTCGTCAGATGCGAACTGTGAAGCTAATAGCAAACTCTTCCAGCTCATCTAGTGACCCTGTGCGCCCCCTAGCATCAAAGGCTTTGCGGGGCAGGTGTTCAGAACGACAGTTCCATCTGCACAAATAGTCATGATATTATTAGTGCACACTAAAAGTTAAAAAGTGTGGGGTTAGAAAGATTTTTTAAATGTTTTTGAAAGAAGTCTCTTATGCTCATCAAGGCTGCATTTATTTGATCAAAAATACATTAAAAAAGTAATATTATGAAATACTGTTACAATTTAAAATAACTGTTTTCTATTTTAACATATTTTAAAATGTAATTTATTTCTGTGATGTTAAATCCTTCAGAAATCATTCTTGTGTCTCAGTTTGAAAACCCCTTTCCTAAATAATTAGATCATGCACACACACACACACACTCAGATTGTACCTGTTGTCATGCTCATCCAGAGAGTGATTGCTCTGATAATGTGAGGGTCGAAGCCCGTCACCAATCGATGCTGTTCGGATACGCAGCTCTTCCATTTGGTCACTGATGGGTGGTAGTGCCTTCCTCTGGACCTGCCGATAGGTCTGCCTGAAGTCTATGTCACCATCATGCAGAGAGCTCAGTTCTGATAGGCTGCCAGCTGCTGACACAATGACATCATTATGGACTTTCTGGACATTTTCCCATTCTTTATAATAACACCAATGTAAATAAGAATTCTATTGTCATTGTAATATGCAGCAGAAAATCTATCTATGGCAGAAATTCTGAACTTGGTTAGAATATTATGAATTGTTTGAAATGATCAAGAAGCATGCACAATCACAGATGTATTTTCATCTAAAAGTGAAAAATCTGTCAACAACAATGTGAATTTCAGTGTATGGACAAAAACATCTTTTAAGATATCATCTTTTGTGTTCCAAGGAAGATTAAAAAATACAGGTTTGGAATGACATGAAGGTAAATGATGACCGAATTTTAATTATTTGAGAAATAACTATCCCTTTAAGTTTGTAATGTAAAAACTTGTGCCTTTTAATGTAAAAGGCAGGTCAATTGCGGAAGGGTTTAGAATTTAGATGATAATGATGATGATGAAATAAATTAGACAAGCCATCAGGTGTCATTTGACCATTGGTAAGTAGATTTTCACTAACTCAACTTAACTAAAATTACACACACACACACACACACACACACACACACACACACACAGTAATGTAATATATATATATAAAATAAACTGCATTACTGAAAGTGAAACTGAAGAACCGCTCTGACATATCCATCAAAATGATTCAACTGGTAACTCCTTCAACGGAGTTCATGAGTCTTTTAAATGGTTCATTAAAAAAGACCGGCTCATAAGTGTCATTTGTCCATGCATTCTGTGGCATGTTTTTGATTCACTAAAGAGAACCACTTTATTAGAATCATTTGTTGGTGAATCAGACTACACTGGTCACACTGCATGTTTTTGCTTGCAGCTTGCAAAGACAACTCAATGGAAATGCATTTTTCCCCCTGCTATTATTTTGTGATACACTGCCTTTTTTAATCACATTCGATTTAGACTGCAAAGACAGGTAAAATATGACTTATTTTACTGCGCAGTGCAGGAAACACTGGCACATCATCGATTCTGAGGTTGGAAGAAGCAATCTCAAGATCAGAAAACCTGTATTTTTACCCAACCTAACATAATAATGTGTAAAACAATGAAAGTAAGAAGTGTTACTTTTTTATTTACCTATTTTTTTGCCATCAAATATAGTTGAAAACCTTTATTCATTATAATTTGGTGGTGTAAAGATCTCCACAGTGAATGCGTGTGTGACAGCGTGTCTGCTCTGCAAGCGAGCTGCGTGATACAATGCAGCAAAACTATCACTCCCATTATAATCAGTTAAGCTGTCTTTAACGCAAGTGGCTAAAAACAAAAAATAAAAAAGGCAAGAAATACTGCTAGCATTCTGGAAGAGAGAAAGCCTCAGCAGAGGGTGAGATGTAAAAGTAACTAATGTGTTAATTTCCATAAAAAGTAACAATCATGTGATTAATTACTTAAAGTTATGCAGTAGCCCATATTTAATGTGCAGTAATGTTATACTACATCAATCATTGATGTCCTGTAATTTTGAATTATCTTTTTTTTTTCTCAGAGGGAACAGATCAGATTGGAGCATTTTGGAGTTTGCTGATTGCAGCAGAAGATGAAGCAGGTGAACTGAAAAGGACCTGTGTGAGAGCACCCACTGAAAAGGACAGGGGGAGAGAGAGGTATGGCAGGCGTACCTGGCATAATCTCCAAATCAAACTCAGGCAGGATGTCATCCAGCACACCTGTCCTACCTGGAGGAGGGAGAAGATCAGACATAAACAGCAGAAGTGGGCAGCAGGTGAAAGTTCAAAGTTTAGGGTTGTGGGTAAATGCTTAAATGCTTGTGTGTGTTATTATGAAAAAGTTACTCTGTTAGTGGCTGTGGATTAATTAAGTTTAAGATGAAAGCTGTTATGAAAACTTGATTTGTTGTTTTAAACATGATTGGCCTTTTTGTTGGTTCAGAGAATAAATCAAATGCAAAAGTATAAAACAAAGTCTGCATACAGTACCAGTAAAAAGCTCTGGACACACTTCACTGAATTTATGTTTCTTGTCATGGTTAAATACTTGAAATTAGTTTTGCAGGCATGAATGGATAACAATTTTGGTCACTACATTCCTATACTAAAAATATTAATAATAAAAAAGGCATAGGTGTGTCCAAACATTTGATTGGTAATGTGCTTAGGTGTGTGTGTGTGTGTGTGTGTGTGTATGTGTGTGTTTGCAGACAGATAACAAGAAAAGGGTGAAAGGTCAAACTGTCTCTGGATGAATAACTAACTTTAGACCAGTGGTGTTTTTCAGTAGCATTTTGGTATATAACATAACATTATTTGTGTGACCATGCAACATGTGCTTGCAAATTATCAAAGTAACATATGAACATTTAAAGTCAAAAGTAATTGAAATAAAAAATAAATAAAAAAGTAAATAATAATGTTAAAAATAAACCTTCCATGTCCAAACTTCAAGCTTTACATAAACATGTTGATGCATGTACCATTTATATATTATATAATTATTATACTAAAATATTTACAAATACAAAAGATGCAAACAGTACACTAGTGAAAAATGAATATACTAAAATGTATTTGAAATACATTTATTTCATGCTAAGTATACTACAAATACATTTACATATTTAGGTGCTTAATAAATATACCCTGCAATTGTACTTTTAGTATACTTAAAGTCTGCTAAATTGGAACAACTAATTTTGTACTTAATGCACTGTAATTGTGTGCAATTCAAGGTCAACTTTATTATCCCCAAGGGGGCCATTTGTTTCACAGCCAGCAGTAAACCATACAATAACAAAACAAGCACCCACCACCACAATACACAATTTAAACCAACAACAACAACGACTCCATAAATAATTTCAATAAAGTAATTTAAAAGACAGATGGTATTTCAAAAAAAAAAAAAAAAAATCTATTAGTCCTACATAAAGGCAGATAATATCTACAAATAGAAGGAAGCAACTTAAAAACATTCTGCAAGGGATGGCTGGTGTAACAATGAGTCTGCAGAGTGAGGAGCCATTTGCAGTTTGTTTGACAACAGAACAATAAAGACAAACAGTCGTAAAGGCGAGATGAGGGCGTAAACAGTACAGGCTAAGATCAGGGCAGACGGCATAGAATCATAGTCCAATAAACAGATACAGGTCATGGCAGGCGGCAGAGAATCCAGAAACGAGAAACAGTCCAGGTCACAACAGAATGACCAATCCACAATGAAGAACCGCTCAGAGATGATCACCTAGGCAAATCAAGACTTTGCGAGGATGTGTGTGTGGTGTGCTTATATGGAGTGAGTGTAATGACTAGCAGGTGTGTCTGTGTGCAATCAGTCCCAGGTATATGGGCTATTGGGAATTGGAGTCCGAATGAGAATCAGTCAATACTCTGGTGAGGGTTCCCTCTGATGGTGTGGAGGCGGTGGTACGGGAGCCTCACTTGTGACAGCTGGGATCATTCCTAATTAACTCAGCCTTCTTCAAAGTCCTAGCTTTATACAAGTCATTCAAGTCATTAAAAGTGGTACCAACAATCTTACCACACACTTTAACAATACCCTGTAATCTATTTCTGTTTTTAAGGTTGCGTGACCCATACCAGCATACAAATGAAACAGTAACGACAGATTCAATGAAACAAGTATAAAACATTTTCATAAAAGTACCGTCCACATTAAAATTACAGAGCTTCCGCAGATAAAACAAATGCTGGTGGGCTTTCTTACACACAACATCCACATGAGCCTCAAAAGTCACCTTTTTCATCTATTACAGTACCAAGGTATTTAAATTGATGTACAACCTCAACAACATGATCATTAATAACTACAGGAGAGATGACTGTAGGATTCTTCCTAAAATCTATAAGCATCTCTTTAATTTTGAATACATTGATGTCCAAAAAGGACAAAATGCACCGATCAATAAAATCTGCCATTACAGAACCATGATCAAGACCCTCACTATGAGGGACATAATCACTGAATCATCCGCAAACTTGATGATATGACGCCTCTCTACACTGTAAAAAGTGAACATGTGCAGTTGTTGCTTTAAGGGCGTCTTTCTATCTGATTCTACCTATAAATTCTAGTTTTGTTGTTGTAACCTACTTCAATCATGGTTTACGTTACATAAAACAAGAAAATGCTGTTTTAACTTAAGTGCTTTACGTTGACGAAACACAACTTCCAATAAAGCTCAGAATAAACATATTCAAAACACACACATCTGCTCCATGTTGATTGGTGAATTTTGCTTCAATGAAAAATTGTGATTTGGGGTTATTATACACTTTATGTTGCAGCAAAGTGAAAATCCAACTGACAGCGCTACTCTTCAGCACAACGGTAACACCATTCAATAACAGAAACTCCTCTAAATGTCCAACATAACTGAACATAACATTAACATAAACTACCAACATTTTCCCCAGAAATTTTTATAAATTTGCCTGTACCATGGTCAAAAGCTCATCCTTCACCATCCTCTCAAATGTTTTCATAATCAGAGAGGTAAGTGCTACTGGCCTGTACTCAAACATTTTGGTACATTATTCTTAGGCACAGGTACAATTCCTTCCAAAGATGAGGAACCTTATGAAGGTGCAATGACATACTAAAAATAAAACAAAAAATATCTGCCACTTGTTCTGCACAATTTTTAATAATACTTTTCCTCTCTCTTACACCTCGGAAAAGTTTTAAGACTATATCCATATCAACCTTCACACTGTTCTGTTCAAAAGACACATTTAAAAAAAAGCCAATTCCTGACTAAAATTATGAATATTAAAATGATTATAAAATTATATATAAATGATTATAAACATTCAAATCATTAGCGAGATCACGATCAAGCTTCCTGTCAAAAGAAATATGACATTTTAAGAATGCATCCCCATCATGGACATGAACATGGAACCCCTCCCATACAAAACGTGAATTTCCAGTGCTAAGCATATACTCCACATTATGCTTGTAATTAAGCCTTGCCAGTTTAAGTTCCTTTTTAACTTGTTTTTGTAATACCTTATACTGAGTCACATCACCATGATTAAAACTGAAACATTTATTTGAAACAAATATTTGTGTTTTTTACAGATTTAGTGACCCACAGTTTATTATTTGGATAAATGCAAATTTCTTTCTTGGGGATAACAAGATCCTCACAAAAAGTAATATAAGCTGACAGTCTCTGTGAGTTCATCTAAATCAGCACAAGCATTTATAAACACCTCCCAATTTGTACAGCTAAAACAGCCCTGGAGACAATTAATAGATACCTTCAACCACACCGGAACTAAACGACATTCCAGCCTAGTTTTCTTTAGGATTTGTATAACTGAACCAGGTACACAACATTATGATCAGACGTACCAAGGGGAACAAAATGATTTATATGCTCCCTTTACAAATCCATAACAAAGATCCAAACATTTCATATGACGTGTAAAACAGGTTACATACTGATAAAAACCATACAAGTACTTCCCCATTTTGCAATGATTAAAATCACCCATAATGGTGTAAGTCTAACTAAAGATATACTTAAGTATATCTGATTGTGCTAAAGTGGAACTATTGCAAGCAGGGCTATTGTAAAGTTTAATTATAATTTTTTTATATCAGTAAGTCTCGAGCGATATATGTCATTAAGTAAATATATTAATAGATTTAAACTATACTTAGTATGAAATAAATGACAGTAGTGACACGTTGACATGTTGCTGGTTCCCAGGGCTTATGCTAATGTAGATGTGTGCATTCGTTCAGTATTTATATCTGGCCCAAGCACAGATCAGGTTCACTAATGTGCACGAATGAAGAGAGTGAGAAAGAGATGAAGAAGAGGGGGCTTCAGCGGAGGAAAATGGGGGACTAATTAATCACAGCCTCATTAACCACCCTGAAAGGGGGGCAAGGGTACGTCATCACCATGGAGACAATGCTGGTATTGTTTGGAATTAAAAGGTGTCCCAGAGCACTGTCCAATTACATTTCAACAAACATCTTCCCTGAGAGACAAATGAAGTGGTGGCTTTAAATGTACAGTCTATTTTACACTGAGCGTACTTTGTCAATGACTGGCATGCCGCCAAAAATAAAGAGCATTCTCACCGCCTAAACTGGCCTTAGTGTTTAGCTTAGGACCCAACATTTTTGTCTGTATGCAATTCCTAGTGGAACAAGTGTGCAGAAGACAGAATCTTATCTGTTAAAATTAGCATGAAATGAAAAGTCATCCTATATGTTTTCTAAATAGAACAATTCATTCATGCATATGTTTTGTTTTTGTTTTTTAATTTTGACATTTAGAAATGAACTGAATAAGACTGAATAAAAGATCAGTCACTCCTTCCAATTCGTTGTGACTTTGTAAACACATTCAAATTTTACAGGCCTTCACAAAATGCCACAAGTCTTTAAACTGAATGAGAGGGTGCCATAAACATAACTGCCCACTGTCAGAGCAGATTTATCCCTGAGTGACAGGAAGTGCTGAGCTGGCAGACAGGAAGAGGAATAATATCCATCTCCTCTACTCCTCGGTTACAGTCATTAAACCAACCGTAACCTGAGAGTAAAGGGGACCTCGTGAAGAGAGAGACAGGCGGAGATATAGGGAAGGCAAGCTGTGTAGTGTAGACTGCATGTTATTATCAGACTTAAAGGGGTAGCTCAACCAAGCAACTGTATGTTCGTAAATATATCACTGTTGTAATTACAGTCTATAGCTGTACAAGTGCATTTGTTGCGCTCTTAAAGCAATCCGCCAATTTGGCAGAATTTCATACCCTCTCAACAAACTATATACTCCCAGACGTTTGAGGGGAAGCATGACAAAGAAACAGAAGGCATTCACCTTATTAGAAGGCAGTGTATCATCAGAGTGAATGGAAACTTATATTTCAAGGTAAAAAAAACTTAGTTGCTCTTAAGGTTTAGAATAATAAACTACTTATTTCCACAGTGATTGGTTGTCTTACCTAAGAAAATGTGGTCACCAGCTTGGTAAGACAACAATTTGCTAAAAAGTGGGTTATTATTCTAAAGAGTTGAGTTTTGTTTGATGTTTTGATTTTACAGTATAATTGTATTAATTAATTTTACTGAATTCTGAATATAGTATTGTAAGAAATTACAGTTAAATACTGTTAATTTTTTACAGTGCAATCCCTGATCCTAAATAATAATAGCGTCGCTTTCCTAGGCATCCACCACTAACAATCAAGATCTAAACGGCAAGTAAAACATGACTACACAGCACGTTTGGTGAAATAGGGAGTGTCTGGTTCAAAGTCAAACTTTTAACCACTAAATACTCCAGATTACACTCTCCACTTCCTAAACCAATTAAATCTTGATTACTCAGAAGGCAGTGCCTTCCTCCACTTCTTAGTGCCTACATAACACTATCGTTGATTCGCCAGTGTAAGTTCTAACCCTCTCATGTTTTTTTTTCTTTTCACCACACAGCACTGTTGTACAGGCCCTGGCATCCCCTGGCCCCTGAAACCCCCTTCGTTCCCATGGAAACAGCTTAAGAAGTGTCTTATATTGCTCACATGGATAACGGTCAGTTATTTACTCTTTGTCTGGCATGAGGCGTCTGACTTTGTTTTGTCCAGCTGGCACAGAAATAACTTATGCTGTTAGGGTCAGTCCCACAGCACCAAACAAGTTGTTTCTCCCCACAGTGATCCTGTCCAGGACGTGTAAAATGTGTGAGGTTCTCCTGATCTGCCGGGGACACAAATGAACAATAGTGTCTCTCATTAAGGATCTGAGCCCTGTCGAGAGGCATGCGCCGTACGGTTGTCGTCATGGTAGCGCTTGTAAGTGCACTCAGGAATTCAGACTGGGATTGGCATTAACAATCATTTAGACACAATAACCAAGCATGCACACACAAAAGTAAACATTTTTGGAGAACAAGGTCCATTTCTTTATAGGAAACTCTGTAAATAACCACAAATATTGAGAGTCCCTAAAGCACAGCATTCACTGACACTTTTTTGAGCATTTTTAACAGTTCAGACTTTTCTAAAACTGTGTTATACAGACATCAACTGACTTTTTTGTACTGTTGATTTAGTTTTTGAGAAGGATATGCACTCGTGAGACTCACCCTGCACCAGTAGCTCCACCTGGCCTTCATTTTTCCCTTCCAGGTCATCAGAAATGATCACCTTACAGAAATACACACCGCTGTCGCCCCACTGCAGCTGTCCAATGTGAAGATCTGCTTCTGAAAAGGCCAGAAAATATTTGCTGATAACCCAAGCTGTTTAATTGTAGGGGAGTAAATGTCTCATTTTAATATTTTTATTTCATTTTTTGGTTTCCACAGTAACATAAAAACATATTAGCTGTCAGTTGCACAATTTACTTTTAGAACTTAACATTTTTAATCAGTAGGAACAAGACATCATTCATCCTCATTATCTTTCTTTAATATTTTGTCAGAACAATCGTAGTCTTTGTTGGAGAGGTGACTGGAGGAGGGAGAGCTTTGATGACTAAAGTCAGAGGAGATGGTGTTTGCGTTTGATAAGGAAGGCTGTGGGGGTGTTTTGTGAGACCTTTATGAGGTCCAGCCCCCTGACCATTGTGCGACCTAGAAAAAACAGCCCTATTTAAGGAACAGGAAAACACAGCATAATCGGCTGGGTTTCCTAAGGGGGAGATGGATTATGCACAAGATTGCAGACTTGAGAATAGAGCGGGTTCAGAATCTAATAATATAACAAGATGATTTTATTACACAGTGGCTCCAAGAAATATTTGGACCATTAAGCCACAGTTAAATGTCATTTTATGAATGCCATTGCATTAAAAATACATATTTAATAGGTAGTATCTGCAAACAAACTATGCAAAACATTTTCTCAGAACTGATGTCATTTCACAATTACTTTTAACCAACTGAATCCCAGTATTTGTGGCTGTATGAATTAGTTCCCCTCAAGTTCACACAGGTGCACAAATTGAGTAACCACAGGTATATATATTTGAAATATATTAAATTTTGTGATCAAATAAATGCAGTCGCTGTAAGCATAGTTTTCCAACCCAAAGTTCTGAATGGTACTGTAAATTTGACACCAAAAATGTCTCCAAATATTGCTTAGGCTGTCTTTTTAAAATAAATTCCACTTAGTTTGTTTGTTTTTTCTAATGCAATTAAATGTATATATTTTTAAGTGTAGATTTGATCCATATTTGATCTATATTTTGAACAGTTTTGCTTCATGAATTGATCTAATCTTGATGTTATTAAATTGACTATTAGGCTGCCAACTTGTTGACCATTTTACAGTTTTGTGTTTGAGACTAACCTGTTGAATTGACTAGTTAATAGATAACCATGGAAGTCCCCTTTGTGAGTCATTAAGTTTGGAATTTCACTTTCCAGCTTACTAATGTTGTCATTTTGTGCAACTAAACGATCTGTAAACACTGAAAGGTTTATAAGGTTATGATCAAATTCAATATTCTGCCTCATATTTGATTGAACTTTGCCTTGAATCAAGCTAAACCTCTTCAAAAACAACAAACAAACAATAATGCAGTTATAAGACAGCAGAAACACATTACTGTTAATGATGGAGATGTCTCTTCCTTTGTAGTGCTCTGCTAATGTCATGGAAGATCCCTGTGCTGAAGCCACTATGCGGACTGTGCGGCTGTTGTCAGAGCAGTCCAGATGAGACGTGGCTCCCAGATCAGATACATGGACTCCCAGGGACTCAGGAAATGTGAAGGAATCCCGAGTACGGTCTGTACAGTAGGACTTGTACCACCACTGCACCACGGCGGTTTGAGAGGAGTGGGTGGTGTAATGACACGGAAGAACAATGGAGCTGAACAGCATATCAAACTTCTTCTCATCTTTCACAATCACCTGTACACCATTACAACTTTGCACTGTGCCAAAAAGAGAGAAAGAGATTGAGAAAAAAAAAACTGTAAATATTACTGAATGACAGTAAGACAATTACACTTTAGGCTGGAATACACTACACAAGTCGACACTAGTTTACAAAAGTCAGAGCCAGTCTGCAGATTTTCCCAGAAACCTGCGAGTATGATATGCACAGACTTTAATTTATTAGCTTCTGACTGTGTCTCTATCCAATTGGAGGATATCACATATTGTTTTCATTTGTCATGCATCTTCTAGTAACGAGGCATGAGTTTGTTGTGTTTAGAAAAAGTCTGTGATCCTCAGTCGTTTAGTGTATGATGGCTAGTTTATCTCTGTAGCAATTTATAAGGTCGGCAAGTGTATGATTGCTAGCGTTTTAAAGTCTGTTAAAGTCATGTAGTGTTTTCTAGCCCTTATGTAGAGCACCGGACAGGAAGCTGAGATATGCAGAATTTGCAAAAGCTATATTTGTATAGCAAATTCATAATGGCTTTTATAAAACCGTTAAGACCGTTAGAATTAAGAAAAAAATATTATTCTGCAATATATATACACACACACATATATATATATATATATATATATATATATATAGCAACCCAGTTAACAAAGTTTGAGACATCTAAATACAGTGTAGAACCCTCTGTTTTGTGCAATGTTATTTTCCAGCAACTAAACAACTAAAAAAATAAAAATAAAAATACAGACAGTCAGAACTCTGCAAATATTCATTTTTAGTAACTGATAAACTTATATTTTTTGTGATAACTTGGGTAACAGTACTGAAGGTTGAGCTTGACAATTTGTGTAAAACATTGAGAAACTTTTAATTATTGATATTAACTCATTCATTTTTTCAATAAAATGCTTTACTTGGTTTCCTCTCATGCTGTAGATGTACATTAATGTTATTCACTTGGTGTCACAATTATAATAATTGTGTAAGTTTTTGGCCATTAAAATTAGCTGACCATTATAAAAGTTTTGAATTTACTATTTCAACAGATTATGTCAAAATTATGACACTTTTTATTTCAGTTGTTGGAAACAGTCAGAAGTGAGACTAAAATAACCATATTAAAGAACATTATTTGGTGTATTTGGTGTAATGCAATGTGTTTATGCAGTTTAAGGTTAAAAAAACACATTATTTTCCACATACTGTACATTATTGTTTCTCCTCTATGCCCGCCTTTCTGAAATGCATTGATTTTTACAAAGCTCATCGGTCTGAAAAGCAAGGTGTGCTCTGATTGGCCAGCTATCCAGTGCGTTGTGATTGGCCGAATACCTCAAGCGTGTGACGGAAATGTTATGCCCCTTAGCGTATTGTGATGCCCTGTCCGGCCGGAGTGACGAGACAAAAATATTAAAACCCATTATTATAACGAGGCATTTGTTGCATCCAGTGGGGACATAATTACGGATTGTAATGACTTATACTGTCTTTTTACGCGTTGCATTGCATCGTGCCGCGTAAACATAAAACCATGTCTGCATTTGTGATCGGAGAAATGACAAACAACAAGCCCTACTCTACACTGCTCAAAACTGGCATTTGAATCATCAGTGGCAAATTCTTTAAATATAAAGAACGTACTTACACTCTGTGAGTCAGAACAGAAGGCATTGTAGTCTACTCTTCCAGGATCAGAAAACAGTCCTCCATAAAATGTGCTGCACACATCTGAATATTTGGGTTGAACGGTTCTGGAACAGTGTTGTAAATACAACTTAACCACTGATTTCTATCTTGTCCTCTTTTGGAAGGCCAAACAAAGTATTTTCGTTTTCGCAACGAAACACACAGCGTCTTCACAACATGGCGGCGGCGGTGGCAGCAACAATAAAGTTATGCCTTCTTTCTTTGCGTGAACATTTGGGCGGCGTTATGCAAATCTTCCCACATCGTGACGTAGACATGTGGGGGCGTGTTTAAACGAGGCATTTTAGGAGGGAGTGGACCAGTCTTAACTTTTATAAAGAATATCTCTTTGGGCTTGAGACTTTAGTCTTTGCAACTTTAGGGATCTTATCTTATCTTAACAGCTTGTAACACTCCAAAGAGAAAGGAAAACTTGAAATAGCGTCATATGACCCCTTTAAGTGTTTGACATTGGGTGTGTTTAAAACAAGCTACTTTTTTGTAGGTTATGCTTGTTGTAGGATAATACATATTAGTACTTTAAAAGCATTACATTTTACTAGTACCTTTTGAAAGGGTGACAGTTGTGCTCCTTTGTGTCTGAGAGTTATCAAAAAAGAAAATGTTATTGTGCCTCTAATGGTTATAAATTAGACAAATATGACAAAACTGTATAATTTTCATAGAATTCAGCTGAACGGCAAACACACTCATGAGCAAAGAGAGTAATGCAAATTCCAAGATACAGTGAGCTTTCAGCAGCAACAGTAATGACTACTGACCTGTTCATGATTAGTATTATGGTGTTTGAGTGTAATGGTACGTTTCATAGTGTCAGAGACAGGCATGTGCTCATTACCAAAAGCCCTTTCTCAGTCTAGGCCAAAAAAAAGAAAAAAGATTTTGCTTAGTGCCTCTTTTCGAGAATGCTTAGTCACACCATTCCAAAGGGAATTCACTTTATCAGCTAGAGATTACAAGGTGAGATGATAGATGACCTGAAAACAAATACTTAAAAACATCTGGATCCAGTCAGTCAGCAATTGAGTGTGTGTGTGTGTGTGTGTGTGTGTGTGTGTGTGTTTCTAAGCATGAAAGAGTGTGTTTGTCCAGCCATGTTGGGAGATTATGGAACAGAAAGCTGGACAAAATCAGAGAAGCACCCGAGAGGAGGATCTGCTGATGTGGAAAACACAAGTGAGAAAGAAAGAAAGAAAGAAAGAAAGAAAGAAAGAAGTGGTTCAATTCCATGCTATGCAGGGGGTGCAGAGAGGAAAGAAGTGTCATTTTTGTGCAGAGAGGAAAGAAGCTGTCATTTTTTGGAGAGACGTCACCATCTCTGACTATCTGAGTGGGATGGTGAAACCGAAATATTCTGAGAAAACTCTTACAACAGATCAAGTTGAGTACAAGTAGGGAGGAGGTCTCTCACACAGAGATACTCTAATTCTTGTCAAAGGGTGGAGCACACTGCATAAAAATATACAACAGCCAGTCACCACAGATGTTTGGATGAGATCTTCACTCATTCATTGTTGACCTAGAGGAAATGGAGCAACTTCCTGAGCATTTTCCAGATGTACTTTAGAATGATCGTGTTGCTGAGGGGAATACAGGCGAGAATTCTAGAATACATTCATTAATGCTCCGTTCAGGGTAGATGGGGTCCTCATTTTGTCCTCTCTGTTGCCTGTTTGACTCATTGTTTGGCATTATGGTGAACCCCCACCCACTAAGGCTCAGTGCAGGAGGGGGATGTTGAGGTCCCACCAATAAGATACACTCGTTGATTCGGTCATCCATGAACACCCAATTAGGTTAAAGAGATTTAAACCAAGCCGTTAGTAGAAGACAACTTTACCTGATTATATGTGTTAATGAATTGCTGATGCTAACTAAACTATTACAGGGAGGCGTTACATAATATTGAAAATAGTATTCAGCTCTTTACCAACTCAAAACAACTTTTCCCTACAATATTTATACAAATTCACACATTCTCTTCACTGAGAGGGATTTTTTTAAAGTGTAGTTTTAGTTCACAAAGTTGGCCACTGAAATGCTCATAAAACAACCATCATATATTGTATTGTTGCATCCACCCATCCAAGAACTGATACAATGCAGCTGCACTCCCTGACACACATTTCAGCAGCACTTCCTACAATTCTCTCCCACAATTAAACTTTGGGATGTTAAATAGTTTAAATGTTTGTCTATGCCCTATAATGAAGTCCCTTTTATATATTACACATATGCAGGCATTTTACAATAATCATTAATAAAGATTAATAAATTATGTTGAACAGAAATACATATTGATTTAAATCAGTAATAATTTTAATAACTTGAAACTTGTAAAAGGTTTTTATGTAACAGACTAATTTAACAATAAAGTGTAAAAAGGAGATTTTATTTAATTTAAAAAAAAGTAAATTGTAAATGCATTGTCAGTTTTAAATGAAAATGGATAATAGTAAAATCCGTCACAAAGACCCGTGATCAATCTAAAAATAAAGCCGAGCTCAAGGTTTACTAAACTCTCAACCTGTTGCTTTAGCTGTTTTAGTTTTCTATATTTCTATGTCGCGAGCAACTAGAATAGTGATTAACAACTCACGTGAAAATAGTATGTATAGAATCCAGAATCCGTGTAACAAAACCATGATCCAGTTTAGTGCGGTTTAGTGTACACGTATGTAGTCCATCTTCTCCCGGACTGTTATTCGCTTCATCCCTGTCTGCTGCGCTGCTCAGAATGAGCGGACTGTACCACTTTACTGAGGGGGGAAGCAACTGTGAAAATTTAAAACTAAAAACTAAAATATTAAAAGGTGCTAAACGGCTGTTTGAAAATAAAAACCGAGTGCATTTTTGCACTCAATGAAATGGATGTCAAATAAACATGAGAAACTACTTTATATAACAGACACTGAAACAGTCTCCCAATTTTCTAAAGTGGATGCGTCTGTCAGAAAAATACTGCAATATATTGCATTCAATGTAAATAAAAAAAGAGATAATTTAAGGAGACTTCAAGTGTGAGTTGAAACCATTATTATGTGTTTATTATGTATTATGTCTTTGCTGTTGTTCCAAAGACATTTTATTGGAGGGAAAATAAATGAAACATGGTTAGTTTACTTTTAATTGAGTAATTAAGTAGGTCTATTTTAAAGCTGCAGTCCGTAACTTTTTTTGGTTAAAAATGATCCGAAATCAATATTTGAGCAAGTACATAACCAGCCAGTGTTCAAAACTATCGCCTTACTTTAGACCGATTCACAATGGTTAGCTTATAATAATGTTTTCTAATTTGAGTGCTACAGGTAGGTTTTCGGGGGAAATTCGAGCATGGCACTGCGTCATTACGTCACGTCTGTAAACATAAAGAAGTTGTCCCGGCTTCTAGGCTATCGCATGTGAGGATCCTGCAGGTGGCTGTCCAAACTCGGTCCTGGAGGGCTGGTGTCCTCCAGAGTTTAGCTCCAACTTGCCTCAACACACCTGATTGGAAGTTTCTATGCCTAGTAAGAGCTTGATTAGCTGGTTCAGGTGTGTTTAATTAGGGTTGGAACTAAACTCTGCAGGACACCGGCCCTCCAGGACCGAGTTTGGACACCCCTGGTTTATAGCCTTTTCTCACAGCAGCCGGAATAATTAAATGTATCAATTTGATGGCGGATTGTAATCCAGAAAGAATTATGTGTTTATGAAACACTTGTGAATAAAATTCAATTATATTCCAGTTATAAATGTGCTTCTGATTACAGATAGCCTGGGATTACAAAGATTTGTATTTTAAAGAAAACCAGTTTGAATGGAGCATAATTAGCTTTTTTTGGTTTAAAGAATTTCTTAATATGAAATTCGAAGAGTATGACAATTAGATTAGACTGTGCAGAAATCGAAGTCTACATGCTAATACACACTATACTCATAGTCACCAATGCTGATGTTGTTAACATTGATCATTTGAGAATAAAGTTCTGTATAGCAATAATAATAATTTGAACGGTTTGATGTGATATGAGCTAACCGATCTTAAGATGTAATCACCATTGGTAGCGAGATTTATGATAATGCTTTTTTCCTCAGTTGGTCAGAACAAACATGGCAGACTTGTAACTTACTTGTTCAGATGGCAATATACGGTGAAAATTCTTATTTGGGTCATATTCCAAGATGTAGGCTATAATCTGTGATTGCGAAGTACAGTAAATATCCACACCGGTGCAGTGACTGACTGCCAAACATACTCCTCAGAACATTAAATTCATCCGCGCTGGAGCCGAGCTGACTCACAACCCACGCAAGCTAGATAATTCCACACACAGCTGAAATTCCAGGTTTTCAAACAGAGATGGCGACAAAGAGGCAAAACTTACGGACTGCAGCTTTAAAATCACCTTTTATTTAGACTACGAAAAGCAGGTGTGTGTAACATCAATTAGTTCTAGCCATGTAAATGTACATAAAAGTACAAAAAGTATCCTTAAAAGAGGGCAGTTTACATTAGTGAGTAGTTACCCACCATTGGGAACCCCTGGCTAAAAAATATCTGAATACATACATGATTCAAAAGAACAGTCAGAATAGAAGTGTCAAGTAAATACGTTTGCTAGCAGACATAACAAAACATCTTTGTGCTGTAAATACAATTCTATTAAATCCTGTAAAATCAAATAAAACAGGAAATCTAAAAGGATGATTCACTGAGGTCAAAAGAATCATTTTGCCACTGCAGGGATACAGCACAATTTGATTTGATTATTAACACAGGAAAAAATTTAGTTAAACAATAGAACAATATAGTACAACAACATATGTTTGAACAACTGCAGAACAAAATTACACACCATCTGAGGCCTTGACAGTGGTTGTCCTTGTAGCAATCAAAATTTTGTTGGTGGTCATAATAATTCAATGGTTCTTCACCGATCATGTCGATCATCATGCTAATCTTAATGATTTTATCTATAGCGATCTCTGAGGTCATCACGGCTTCCTTTGCGTTCATCATAGCGGTCTCTGAGGTCATCACGACTTCCTCTGCGGTCATCATAGCGGTCTCTGAGGTCATCACGGCTACCTTTGCGTTCATCATAGCGGTCTCTGAGGTCATCACGACTTCCCCTGCGGTCATCGTAGCGGTCTCTGAGGTCATCGCGGCTACCTTCATTGAGGCCATCACGGCTACCTCTGCGGTCATCATAGTGATTTTTGAGGTCATCACTGCGAGCTTTGTCAGGTCTCTCTTCAGTGATCGTCATGTTGTCTGTATTCCCGTCCTCAGTATTTTCTAGTGGTGGTTTGTCATGGAATTCCACAATTGGATTTCTGAGGCAATAAATAAACATACAGATAAATAAAACTAGAACACATCCTAACAACCAGGACCCACCACCCAAAAACCAACAATCACTTCATCTATTACTTTGAAAGCATAAATGAAGACCTACTCCATTTCATAGTTTTTGTTTGTTTGTTTCTGTTTCTGTTTCCGTTTGCGGCAGCAGCAGATGATGACTATTATGAGTACTGTAACTCCAGCAATACAACCAGCAACAATTCCTATTGTGGCAAGATTCATAGAAGCTGTAAAAACAGAAATACGTGGAAATGAAATCAGTCAGAAGTCTTCTGAGGTCATTAAACTTTATACTGTTAAGATACTGGCATGCATCAAAATACCAGTAAACCCAAATTGTAAGCATGAAGGTCCAGCCTGAACATATAACCATCAGAGAGGTCCGTAAAACAGAAATTAGATTATACGATTTTACTTGAATTAGCCATCATTTCACTCACCAAAACATATAATAGTTACGAATTTTCATGTGTGTTGGAATTACATAAACTGTTGAGTGTGTACACTGTAAATCAGGTCAACTGTCATGCTGACATTAAGCTATAGTATCAAGATCTTTAATATCAATACATGGTAAAATAACTGGTAATCTGAATCCAATAAATCTAAAAGGTAAACAACCTTATCACCTTAAAAAGAAAGAAAAAAAGGCAAATGTGGCGATACTCACGCGGCATTACAGACAATGTCATGTTACATTTGGCTGATCCGACCTTATTGGTTGACAGGCAAATATAGTAACCTGATGTCTCCATGGATACATTGACCAGAGACAGAACTCCATCCTCTGTTACACAAAATAATGTTTAAACTATAGAATAGAGAGACAAAATATGTAATTACGCTAGTTCATTGAAGGAGAAAACTTACTTTCTGTGGTTTTGATAGGAAATGCTCGAGGGGCATTTTTGACATCATATCTCTCCCATTTGTATGTCGGTGTAGGCGAGCCCTCCTCAGAGACACAGGTTAGGCTAATATTGTGTCCGTATTCTGCTGTGCCTACTACCTTACAACTGGGTTGTGATGGTGCAACTGTAAAAAAAATTTTAGATATTCATTCAACATTTGAGAAGGATTCTACTCACCATGTAAAGATATATGGACTTTTCTTTTGAGACAAAGTGCCAGAGATCTTACCCTGAACCAAAAGAAAAGTAGTGTCAGCTGTTTTGCCTTCAATGTCTCCAGGAATCTGAACAAAACATCTAATTCTTCTGCTTTCTTGAATAGTGACTTGTTTTAGTGTCAATTTCGACGTTTTTGCAGTAAGGTCAGTTTCTATGAAGGCTTTGCCTTGATAGTCCGATCCGATGTCTACTTTACCATAGGAGTAATAGTTACCAAAAAGGACCTATGAGGCCAAAACAGAGAACCGTTTAATTGCTCCATTGTGATAGTTTTTTCATTATTACACAGTTATTGTTTTTACACTAATCATGGATAGTGGTGTTTTGGTAGACAGTTGAAGTTTTTCTGGCTTACCTTCTCTTTAGATGTCTCATCAGGATCACCAATCCATGTTATAATTATAAGGTCATTTACTTGATTTTTAGGTTTAAAATTACATGTAAGGGTGACATCATCACCCCTGGCAACCTCCATGGTATCTTGACTCATCGTCACTTCCAGTCCAAAACTAGCCGACATCACTATGAGGCAAAGAGAGAGAACCTTGTGAATATCAAACAATGTCATACAATTTATTAATATATATATATTTTTTTCAAAATGATGAATAATTTTTCAAATGCAGAATTTAGTAATATTTCACAAAGCTTTAAAAACATGAAACAGACTTTTAAAAAGATTTTAAGACCAAAGAAAAATTCCTTTCTACATTTTAAAAAGTTCTCACAAATCTTAAGTTTAACTTAAGTTTATCAGTAAACTTGGTGTGGTTACACATTCTGCTAAAATATGAATTTATTAATAATATAATTTATTCAATTATTTAATATTCATTCATTATAGTATTTAAGAATGCATAAGTCGACCTTATTTGTAAACTGTCTGCTGATGCTGTGTATTGTCTATGTGTAAATGAATGAATGAAAAAAAGTTGCTGAAAAAAAAATCCACCATTATGAAGCCCTTGTGAAAACATTAATACTTCAAAAGATATCCTTTAATAAATATCACATGTAGAACAACTGAAAAGAAAACAAATCGCTGTTGTGACCCCCACTATTTTATCTGACATTTTGATTTGATCTAGATTCTTGACTGCTGTACTCAATGTGAACGGCAGGAAACCGACCACCTCACCTGATATTAAATATAGGCAGCGAAAAATCAGCTTCCAGTTGGTCATTTTGTCGTTTTTCAATCACACTGTAATAGATGGTGGTCTGCAGGTAGATTTTCATAT